GGGGGGTCACCGGGGGCTTAACGATACTTTAAACTCTGGAGTGGGACAGACGGGGAGTCGAGTGTTTCGCCGCTTAGGGGTGGCGTGGCGGGGAGTTGTACATCCGGAGCTCTATCACCCCAGCACGAGCCTCCGGCGTCCCGTGACACACGTGCTGGGCGGGTGGGACGCCGGGGGACACCCTACGCTACGGGTGCGAGTATGAGACGGTCGGTACAAATAGGCCATGGACCGCAGCAACAGCACACGGAGGTACTCTCCTTCGTCGCACAGTGTCCGCTGCTCGCACCTCGAGCGGTCCGCTGCCCACGCGGAGCGAGCGCCTGCCAAGCCCCGGGTAGGCAAGCCCGCACCACACGAGAGCGCTCATGTTGCCGCGCAGCAGCCGCCCTACCCAAACTTATTTAGACTTATTTATCGGCATGTAATCTATACAATATCGTTCGAAGAAATGTAGAGAATTACTAATTAAGTACATCGGTACTTCAACCGTAGAATGTAAATGAAAATCGCTAGGGCTGTGATAGTTTGACCAAACTTCAGCCCCTCCCCGCACACACATACTCCCACCCTGCTGCGAATCGCTACGCTACTCACATTGTGCCTCCAGAGCACCCTGGTGGGCGGCGGGTTGGCCTTGACGTTGCACTCCAGGGCCACGCCAGCGCCCTCGTCCACAGAGGGGGCGGAAAGAGTCACCGTCACAACGGGGATATCTGGAAAGAAAACAAAAACAGAATGAAAACAGTACTCATCGCCACTCAGCGTCAGCGAGAACAGGGTTCTAGCGAGTGGAATTTATCGCAACATGGATGATAATATGGCGTCGTATCGACATTCCGTGTCAAAGTAAGTCGTGGAAGGTATTCTTGAGAAGAGTTTCGCAACCGCACATACAAACAAACTACAAACATACATAACATCTAATGGTTGGTGATATGATTCAGTGGCAGCGAACATTATATTTCTCATAATTTGTTTTATGAGAGTGTAAGAAAATGCATCCGTGAGTTACGGAGACCGTGTTTGTAAGACTTTTTCAGTGTGTTTGTGCGAATAAAAGAAACATTGAGGGGCGAGGCGTCATCACGACATTGCCCCCTATGATGGTCACTGCTGGCCTGCAGTCTGGACGCCGGCCGTTATCCGCGAGACGGAAATGAAATAGATGGGAGCCGCCGCACCACGCGAACCAACCCCGAGCGGCCCGCGGGAGAGAGAGAGAGAGGGGGGGGGAGGCTCGAAACACAGCGCCGACAACCTCCGGGAAGAAGCACGCCCGGGGCCCTCGGCTCCAGAGCGCCTCCGGAGGGAAGGGGAGCGCGGCTCCGCGCGGCGGCGGCGGCCCGCCTGGTTCCCGCAACCAGGCTTCAATCTACAACGAGCCATACTCTCATACAGCACTGCGGAAATCTCATTTCGCGGCAAGACAACATCTCCGAGTGGGGGGAGTAGCGGGCGACATATCATGGTGCCGCCTCCCCCCTCCCCTCTCCCCCCCAGCTGCTCTAGTTTGGAGAAGAATTACCCGACCGACAAGCCTCGCCTGGCCCAGA